ATAACATAAAAGAAACCAACAAAATGCATTTTTAAAAATATATTTTGCCCAAAATTACACACAACAAACAGCTGGCAGTGAGTTTGCGGATGTAATTCAATGTCAGGGATCTTGCGACAATCCACAAACTTCTCAAGTGTCACCCTCACAGTTTTGGGAATCATAACCCAATGATTACATTGCAGAAATGTATAGAAACATATCTGCAGATGCGCAGATCATTTGAGAAAAGCTACAGATAATTTTGCTGCACCAATTCCTATAGACTCTAAATGAAGTCACCAATACAACCTGCTACTGAAGTTCCCATCCATTATGCAGCACATTGACCTTCTGTAGTGCACAGTGCTGCACTTTAATGTAATACTACATCACATCAAACTCAAAATATCCAGACACTGGATAAAGAAAGCTTTAGTCACACTACTTTGCAAAATAACTGACTTGAGTGAGATTCAGGTAAAGCCACAATCAAATTTGCTAAGCTTCCAATAGGTAGCTCTCAATTATGTGGACATGTACCAAGACCACATGCTTTCAAAATGCCAAGTTAACTAAGGCAGCGGTGGATTACTCAGAATCTCACTATCCTGGAATGGAAATGGTCAGCCCAAAGACACAGGAATCTCTGTAAACCTGTTGTCGTCTAAAGGTTCAACAAATCCCTGAGATTGTAACTGCAAGGCATAAGTTTCAAAACATTAATTTATATTGTTTTGAAATTGGATCTGCCAGATAAAATATTGAAGAGTGTAATAATATCCTGGTTACTTCATATGCATAATTTCTAAAGTTTACCCTCATCTGCAATACTAATTTTCTGCAAATGCTTTGATTGGTAACTGTCAACTATACTTCAGGACTATAAAGTGTTGGCATTCTCAAAATAGTTGTATGTTCGCAGTCAAGAATATTGTCTTTCTTCAAAGGATTAAATGGTTACATTTTACCCAATCAAACTTTGTATACAAACATAATTGGCTTAATTTTATGTCCCACCGGATAAAGGCACCCTCAGGGAGGGTGAAGGGCAGCGAGGGTGGGCGTAGGAGGGTGGTCAAAGACACGGTTGAAGAGGAGGGTCTTGAGGCATACTTTGAAGGAGGCAAGGGAGAGAGCAAGGCAAAGGGAATGTGGGATTAAGTTCCAGAGGTTGGGGGCAAAGCGGCTGAAGGTCCGTCTGCCAATGGTTTTCAATGCCTTGGGACATCCTCCCGACGTGAAAGGCACTCTATAAATGTAATTTTGTTGTCGTTGGTGGTAGGACGGGACGGGTGAGGGACATGGAGCAGGCCGGAGCCTGCTGAGCGGAGGGAGTGGACAGGTTTACAAGGGGTTAGCAGGTCGGAGAGTGCAAAGCCATGGAGGGCCTTGAAGATGAGAACGAGAATTTTTAACTCAATCCTCTGAGTGATGGGGAGCCAGTGGAGCCGGGCAAGGATGGGTGTGATGGGGTCACAGATCCTGGTGCGGGAGAGGACATGAGCTGCAGAGTTCTAGATGATCTGCAGCGTGTGGAGGGAAGAGTTGGGAAGGCCGACAAGCAGGGCGTGGGCATAGTCGACCTGGATTGTAATGAAGGCATGTATGAAGTACAGCAATACATTTAGCGGGCATCAGTAATGCCTTGCATTGAACATAGACAAATGAACAGCTTTCCTTTGCTGCTTGGCAGCTCCCATGCTGAGGAATGATTGAACACTTTCCTGGACTGTTCAAATCAATACCACAAGGGGTTAGAGCAACAATTACTAACGCCTGTGTCTGGACTGTGCTAGGTTTTTGAGCAACGGTAAAAATACATACAGAATGGCGGATAACGAGAGACAGAAAAAGAAAAGCACAATTACAACTCTGAAATCCGGTTTTAATACAACCCCAACTGATGATATGAAGACCGCCTATATCTCTCTTAGCTGTTAGGCTCTTACCTGAAATGTGTTTGGGTACTCTCAATCCAAAAAGCTTCTGGCACACAAAGACCAACAGTAAAAAACTGCCTATGAGAGCATCACCAATACAGGAAATGGTATCAAGGCAGGCTAGTCATGAAAAGAATCAATGCTGTGAATACCAAGGGAGTTTCTTGGTTTGAAAACTGGGTGCCTGAAATGGTAGCACCCAAACAGAACAGCCCTCAGAAAGTGGAGGTGGGAAAGAGTAAGAAGACTATGGCATTCATCCCTAAACTTTGAATACCCCTGACAGCTAACAACCCAATAGGTAAGATGATCCTAACTGGACAAGCAGCAACTAATGTCCCATACTGGTAAACTGCATGGATTTAGCTTGTTCGTATCCAGCATTACCCATAAAGTGCATTATGGGGTCCCTAATATGAGTTTCAAACCACTTTCATATTCTTCATGAATAGGTAAGCAAGGTGCATCTCCTCAGAGTTGACAAACAGAAACTTTGCTTCTACGAGTTGTCAGTAGCTGGAACTGAAGACAGCAAGCTTTCGAAGAGGAGGGACGAGATGACTAACAGCAAGGACAAAGAGGCGAAAAATGAAAAATATGAAAAGTATACCAGAGACTTTATATAGAAAAATAGAGACTTTCATCACATTTTGGTTCATATTTCACACACAGAGTTCATTTTAATAGTTCAGCACGCAAATCAACATCAGCCTTCACTGGCCTCAGTCTGTAATTAAATTGCTTGTTACTTCCCGAAGATCTCTTCCCTTCACCCCACCTCAGCCCCACAATTGTTTTCCCTACAAATATTTTCTGAGAAGGCAAAATGATAAAAAATTCAATTAAGAGAACATTAACCTATTGCACAAACAAATACACACACATTTCATTTGTCCTGTACATGCTTGTCTCCTCCCTGATTTAATATTTAAATCTGTGGATTGCCTTTCTTTGGGCAGTGGAGAGATTATGTGGGAACAGAGATAAAGTGTTACTAATTCCATATATGGAAATCATCCTGCAAAAGAAAATTCCATGCCAACAGGTGATAATACTATAGCTGCTGAGACAAACATGATAATTGTTGTTACAATTCTGAATAAATGTTGAAAAGGGGTTACAGTTTGTGCTGGCCAAGCAGAAAGTAAACCTAATGAGAACAAGTTTCGGGCAAAAGATATATATGGAGTTACCATTTCTCTCCAAGCTTCTGACTCAGAGGCAAGAGTGCTACCACTGCACTAGGCTGACACACAAATGCCATGGTTATCCTATGTTACCGCTCTCACATCCTCATGTGGGATATTCATTGTATTACTTAGCGCATTCCAGCCACACAACTTCCAATTAAATTTAGTACAGAAATTCCTGTTACTCAGTGCAGGGATGTTGCCACATCAGACATTCCCTTTGCAAGGATCTATATTAAAACTTTCAGCCCACTGCAGACTGATTCATAGTTCTGCTCTGATGCATGCAGATCAGAAACGGTCACTTTCAACTAAGCACATTTTGAAATAAATTCAGAGGGAATTGCAGACCATTTGTACAGCATTTATGTCACAGGATCTCCAGATTTGGAATCGTTAACATCCCAGTGCAAGCCTTCAGCACCTTTTTTTTTAAATAATTTTTTCTCAGCCATGGCATTTCTACAAGTAGAAGGGTCTTTGGTTACATCACCCCAGAACAAAATACAATGGAGACAGTCTACTTTTCAAATGCTTAGATGAAACAGACATTGCTCTGCCCTGATGCATGCAAATCAGAAAGTGTCATTTTTACTATTCAAAACTCAGGTTACATTTTCTTATGCTTTATTTTAAACTGCCAGCTGCCGCTTCTCTCTCACACTTAACTTCAGGTTTTAATTTGGTGGCGGGGGAAAAAGAGAGCGAGCGAGAGAAGAAAAGCATTACAAAGAGGAGGCACACAAATTGCTCTAAAGCTGAAACAATGGAAACGTACACCGCAACTGCTCACCTCATGTTCTCAAAGACAACAGCTCAGTGTAACAACACGTGCATCTTGTAAAAAGGCACAAATTGTGCAAAAATCTTGCAATTAATAAACCTACTGTCCAAATACAATAGTACTCCTCAAGCTTATCTGAGACATTACTTTAAAATGGAGAGTACTCATGCACTCTGACACAATACTTTTAAAACCTCTAGCCTTGCTGCTGATCGGCCTGTAGTTGCTACATAAATTATGTCAAACAGTCATGACTTGGTCAGTGCACTGAAACCTTCAAGGCTTTTTGTTTTCACATTGCTCGGAGCAAGTGACAATCCAAATCACTTCAAACAAGAAGACAAGACATGATTCGGCCTCAGTACAAAACCATGTGCTTCACCAAGTTATTGATCCTTCGAATACAATCAATGCACCAGTGTAATCTGTACCCAATGTACATACCCAGGCAATCTCCCCAAGGCAAAAACCTAGCACTGACAAGCCATTCAACTGCATGCCAGGAGGTCGTATATAAAGAAATGTTGACAGTCCAGAACTGAATTTGCCCTTGGGTCTAATTGTGAATAGTTCTGAATATCAGACACGGACCAAGCAGTTGTAATAAGGTACAGTTAAAAGCGCACTGATAAATAATAAACCTCCTTAACACTTGGGAAAACACTGACCCTGTAAATAATATACATCAATTTGAAGACCTCTCCCAGACTGACACTCTTGCCAAAAATAATAGTGTTTGCAAACAAAAGGAGCAAACGCACATGCAACATTCCCGCAGCGCAACATTGCATGAGGACCATTAGCTGGTCTCTTTCTTCCTGATTGACAAAGATGTTTTAAACAAAGTTTGGGATTCTCACTTCTCTGTAAATATTGACTTTTTCAAGTTAACATCAGGTCAACAAAATTATATTAAAATGTTCACAGAGTACATTCTGTGCTGTCTGCAAAAGAGAAGGAGCAAGCATTGGTGCTGTATTCAAATTAGATGCCGGAAAGCTTACAAAAACAGAATCAAAACCTGAGGCAATTTCAAAAAATATGAATATTACAGTCAAGTATTTAAAGTGCATTTGCAATTTTACTCAAAAAAAGTTGTCTCACCTTTAATTTTAACAGTAGGTGAATTAGGACCAGCCGACTGTTTTCTCCATCCTCGCCAGTTCTGACACAAGCTTTCTGCCTCAGAGATGAACGAACAGAGGGAATCTTCTTCAAACCTGTCACTGTCCTCAAAAGAAAACCTTTCACCGTCCTCCCACTCAGCAAACATTAGTTCCATCACATTGAGAGCACCAGGAAAAACCAAAACAAAGAAAGCAGCCAAGGTGAAGAGGAGTTTCAGCCACACGCAAACTCAGGCACTTTGTAACAAAGATTTGGAGGCAAACACAAACACTACCATGTGCAAGGTGTCTTCCTGGGTAAAGAAACCAAACCCCCAAAATGAGTTATGCAGTCAAGTGTTGATCACAAGTCAAGATTATAAACACAGCCAAGGTGTTTTATTCTCTTACTGACATCCAACAACTCTTGTCTTCTTTCAGCAAATCTCTGCTGGCATCCTCACCCTCGACAGACACTTCTCTCTTGAGTGAAAATCGCCAATAATTCCTCCCGAACAAGGAGCCTGGCTTCTCCTTTTGTTGTCTTTCCTTGTCGGTGAGCAAACAAACAAAAGATCACTTGGGTTTTCTTCTTTTCCCCCTCCCTTTCGTCTCTCTTTCTCTCTCTCACTCAGAGATGCACCAAAAAAATAAGCCAACTCAGTTCAGTAAATGCGAATTAGCTGCTAATATACAGAAAACAAAACGCAGCAATTTCTTCTTCTTCATACAATGGGCGGAATTGAAAGTAGACGAGGTTGTCTGTCTTGCAAGATGTCCTTGGTGTGTAACATCAGAAGAGGAGAGTGAGTGAGAGGGAGCGACAGACACACACACACACGCACACACAGGAGACGAGATATACAGAAATAGGAGAAATCCCCCCTGAACTGCTCACATGTCAATGGAAATGCCTTTTTTTTTGGGGGGGGGGGGGGGGCAACAAACCTCTACGCAAACAGAAACAAAGTAGCAGCAAAGAGGGAAAGGAAAGGGAAACCAAACAAACCCAGGTAGCAAACTTCCAACCATCAGAGAGACAGGCACCGGAGGGTCTTTATATATACATATATATATATATATGGGGGGGAAAGAAATAATAACACAAAGTTGGCTCTGAAAGACTGCAACTAAACACGAGTAGAAGAGGAGAAAGAGGGAGAGGGGGAAAAAAAACAATAAACAACGTGAAAACAAGCAACTGAACAACAATCCTCCTCCTCCTCCACCAACAAGAATAAAATAATAATAATAATAAATACACAAACAAACAAACGAACGGATGGATGGGGGGAAAGGAGGAGAGAGAGAGAGAGAGAGAGAGAAGATTGAGAAAGAGGAGAGAGAAGAGAGGGAAGGTGATAGGGAGAGGGAAGGAGAGAGAGAGAGGGGGGGGAGAGAAAGGGAAGGAGAGAGAGAGAGAGAGAGAGAGAATAAAAAAAAATGCCCCCAATGTGCAGGAGCCGCTCAGCCCGAGGAGGAGCCGCCGTGTGTCTGGTCTCTAAACATGGCTGTTGTTGGAGATACTTCACCTGGAGCCCAGTCATCAGCTGTTGGCCATTTCCGCTCCTATCACATGATTTACCCGGAGCTCCGGAGGGCAACAGCACAGCAGACACTGGAGATACAGAGAGAGAGAGAGAGAGAGGGGGTCCTGTCTCCCCCTCCTCCTCACTCCCTCACTCACTCACTGTACAGACAGCGCCGCTCTCCTCTCCTTCACTCCTCCTTCACTCCCCCTCCTTTACTCCTTCACTCACTCACTCACTCACTCACACTCACTCCCTCCCTCCCTCCAGGGCTCAATGTACAAAGCCAGTGCTGCTCTCCTCTCCTTCACTCCTTCACTCACTCCTTCCCTCTCTCCCTCTCAAGCTGTTGCTGTTAAGTGGCCGCCGCCAGCGCGCACTGTCCTTTTTCTCTCTTTTTTTTCTCTCTCCTTCCTCTCTTCCTTCCTCTCTTCCTTCCTTCCTTCTCTCTCGCTCTCTCTCTCTCTCTCTCTTCAGATCTCTAATCCTCTTTCTCTTCCCCCCCAATGGGTGAATGCGAATGACCTCTCAACTCGGGCACTTCCCATGACGTCAAAGGAAATGAGGCTGACGTTCGGGTGTGTGTGTGTGTGTGGGGGGGGGCGGGGGTTTGACAGCTGACTGCGGGGAGAGGGAGAGAGTGAGGGGAGTGTGAGAGGGGAGGGGGGTGTGAGAGGGGAGGAGGGGGGGGTGTGAGAGGGGAGGAGGGGGGAGTGTGAGGGAAGGAGGGGGGAGTGTTGGAGGGGGGAGTGTGAGGGAGGAGGGGGGAGTGTGAGGGAAGGAGGGGGAGTGTGAGGGAGGAGGGGGGGAGTGTGAGGGGAGGAGGGGGGGAGTGGGGGGGGGAGTGTGAGGGAAGGAGGGGGGAGTGTGAGGGAGGAGGGGGGGGGGGAGGGGGGAGTGTGAGGGAAGAAGGGGGGGAGTGTTGGAGGGGGGAGTGTGAGGGAGGAGGGGGGGAGTGAGGGGAGGAGGGGGGAAGGAGGGGGGGAGTGTGAGGGAAGGAGGGGGGGGGTGAGGGGGAAAGGAGGGGGGAGTGTTAGAGGGGAGGAGGGGGGAAGAGAGGGGGGGGGGGGGGGGGGAGGGGGGAGAGAGGGGGGAGTGAGGGGGGGAGGGGGGGAAGAGAGGGGAGGAGGGGGGAAGAGAGGGGGGGAGTGTGAGGGGAGGGGGGGAGTGTGAGGGAAGGAGGGGGGAGGGGGGGAGAGGGGGGGGGGGGGAGGAGGGGGGGAGTTGAGGGGGGAGGGGGGGAAGAGAGGGGGGGGGGGGGGGGGGGGGAGAGGGGGGGGGGGAGGGGGGGGGGGGGGGAGGGGAGGGGGGGGAGTGTTGGAGGGGGGGAGTGTGAGGGAGGAGGGGGGAGTGTTGGAGGGGGGGAGTGTGAGGGAAGGAGGGGGGGAGTGTGAGGGAAGGAGGGGGGGAGTGTTAGAGGGGGGGGAGTGTGAGGGAAGGAGGGGGGGAGTGTTGGAGGGGAGGAGGGGGGAAGAGAGGGGGGGGAGTGTGAGGGAGGGGGGGAGTGAAGGGGGGAAGAGAGGGGGGGGAGTGAGGGGGGGAAGAGAGAGGGGGGGGGGGGGGGGAGGGGGGGAGTGGAGGGGAGGAGGAGGGGGGAGGAGGGGGGAGTGAGGGGAGGAGGAGAGGGGGAAGAGAGAGGGGGGGGAGTGTTAGAGGGGGGAGCAAGGGGGAGAGAGAGTGAGGAGGGGGGAGGGGGGGAGTGTGAGAGGGCATTGTGGGAGGGGGGAAGAGAGAAGGGGAGGAGGGGGAAGAGAGAGGGGGGGAGTGTGGGAGGGGGGAAGAGAGAGGGGGGAGTGTGGGAGGGGAGAAGAGAGAAGGGGAGGAGGGGGAAGAGAGAGGGGGAGAATGTGAGGGGGGGGAGAGAGAAGGGGAGGAGGGGGAAGAGAGAAGGGGAGGAGAGGGGGGGAAGAGAGAGAGAGAAGGGGGAGAAAAGGAGGGGGGGGGAGAGACAGAGGAGTTAGCAGAGCTGCTATTGTATGGAATGACCAAGACCCCCTCCCCCTCTCTCTCCTCTGTCTTGTTCATTTCTGTGCTGCATTTTCTTTGGAAGGGGAAGGATGTGTGTTCTTTTTTTTCTCTCTTTCTTTCTCTCTTTCTCATCCACTGAATTGCAAATTCTTTAACCTCGGGGGTTTATTGCTCGATTCTGTTTTTTTTTCCACACGCACTTCGTTTTTTGCCTCTACGGTATTTTAATGTACAGTCATTTTGCAGCTTCTTTTTTTAAAAACCAAATCAGAGTTTTCTCATCATTTCCACTCATCGACCTGCCCTGCGATACTCATGCTCTAATGAATTAGTCTTGGTGATGTAAGAAAATTGGGCGGATGATTGCGGAAAAACACTTAAAAATATGGACAAGTTCTAAATGTTGGTTTTGCAAAAATTACACGGTGCAGTGACACTTCCTTGTTGAATTGCATGATTTGATTGCTCTCTACCCTACCCGTTATTAACCCTGTTGGCAATACAACATATGGAATATAGTGTGTGCGGCTGCTAATATTTTATAGAAACAACAGGGAGTGGGTTGTGGAGCAGTGTCGCAACATAGCTCAGTGAGAAACTTGATCAGGTCAATGTGGCTTATGTTGTCATCCTCAACCGCTTAGCATGCTACAGCTTGTAGCATGTGGCATAGCATGCTTTATATATCGATATTGTTGTTTCTTTCCGAGAAGACATACCAGCTTTCTTTTTCCTCCCCTCCTGACGATGCTAACTATTGCAAAAATATAGTTTCACGGGTATTGGCTGTCCTCGACCTTGCCCAAGGAACCATTCCTCATATATGAGCTAAGAGAGCACAGTGGTCACCAGCACAGCCAAGTGCAATCCTATCCTTACACAATGTAGACTCTCCTGCATTGTTCACTGGAGCAGGAATTATTGCTGACATTACCTTTTCTGTTCAAGTGCTTTGAGATCAACTTCAGGGGCCTTTGCTGCCTGCTAACTCAGCACAGACCAGGAAGTGAACTTGCAACCTCGGTTTGTGTGGTTCAGTTTCACACCAGGCATCGGCTTTACAAACTAAGCCCATCGAAGGAGATAATTATATTACTAAACAAAACAAGGCACTCAGATCTGAGGTAGCATCTGAAACAATGATGTAAAAGAGCTAGAATTGTGGGCCCTAAGATAATGACGGCACACAGGGTCCTGCTTTTAACCTTTGCTGATATAGGAAAGACACTAAACACATCCCAGAAGGAAGGCAGTTTCAAAGGAAGAGAACCTGTCACTATTACAGCCACCAGCCACTATACAGCCACCAGCTATTACACAGCCACCAGAGCACTAAACAGCTTCAGCAAGACTTCTGGAAAAATAAACTCAACCAATTTTGCCGAAGTAACCCAGCATCTTGTTATTGCTAGCTCACACTGGACATAGCGAGTGACAAATCAGCTAACATCCCTTGGTCTGTAGGTTTGAACTTCCCCTTTGTCAAGTTCTATCCATTCTGTGGATTCTTCTATTTTATACATGTACTTCCAATGTGGGATCCTTGCATTTGTCTGCAATGAACATTATCTGCTATTGATGAATTCTACCGAGTTCTCTTTCCCCAATTTTCTGGTGCTTTCAATATCAGACAGGACAGCAGCAGCAGTGAGTCTATTACGTCTGTTCCGATAACTGCTCTGTACATCCATAACTAAATCAAATTATCAAACCTGCATCTTGAATGTGAAGCAATTCATGGAGAAGTTCACATTCCCAATGGAAATTTTGCTTTCCTTCACCCATACCCCATCACTACATATATTTAAATATTGCACTTTCAAGATGTTTCTCCCCCCTACATTTATGGTTTTAGATAGGATTCAAACCATTTATTTTTGTTAGGATTTTTTCGTCAATGTCAACAAATTTCAAAACAATATGGAAACTTGATTGAACTTCAACACCAATGATAAAATGTGTATATCACACTTTGGTCTTATGTTGCTCAGAGGTTTGGACAGGATGGGAATGGAGTGAGATTACATAGCTGCTCATTGCTATAAAGGCGGCACTAAGTTGTCACATTTGTCACAGAGGAGATGGTCAACAAGAGAGAACTTTTTTTTAAAACAATGTGTTCTTCAACCATATCTTTAGTGGGATCATCGAAATATTAGAGAATCTGCCAACAGCAATTCACCCTTGGCTACAGTTCATTTTAAGTTTCTACTCAGATTGATTCTGGAGTAAGAAAAAAATATTTGGTCAGTATTGCTGAAACAAATTGCTGCAGAAATTGTGTTTTTGTTTCATACCCTGAAGTCTCTACCTGGCTTTTTCCCTTACCATTCTTTCATCATCTAAGGTCAAGTTTAATTGAGACAATAACCACATTCACAGTACACAAAAAATACTGGTTACCACAGCATAATGAAATAAACAATCTAGCCCTAAGGTCTAAACACTTATTTGTTCCTTTATTGTGGTTGCAATATAAGAATATTTATATTTGATATACTGCCTTATTGAAATGTCTTAACGTGCAGCACACAGTGAGTTACTGTTAAGTGTAGTGACTGGTGTTATGAGCAAACGCAACAGCTAATTTGTGCCAACAGTGTTTCAAAATAGCAAGGAGATGAGGAATGAACTGATCTCATTTTTTGTGAATTGGATGGAGCAGAAATATTAGCCAAGGCAGCAACTTAGGCTTTCCTTCATAATAATGGCATAGGAGTTCTTGTGTCTACCTGAACAACCAAAAAAAAGGCAGGCAGGACATTAGTTTAATGTTACATTAAAAAATATTGGATATAAAAATCAGTCATAGTGTATTGTCATAATAAAATGACCAATGCCAACCTCAGCATCTCTGCAATATTTCTCCTCGATTGTTCTTTTGCATAGTGGGTATATGCTGAGGATTTTTACTGATGTTTGCAGGTAAGAACAACTATATTTTAAGCACAGTAATTGCTAGCATGATGTGGTATGAATATAACTATGGACCTCTGTTACTGAACAAGTAATTTGGGGGCCAGGTCTTATTGGCGTGGATTCCAAGCAGACACCGGTCCCTCCCAGTCAGCAAAGGCAAAATTGTAGTCCAAGTGCATGCCTGTTGTACAAGAGGCAGTGTTTAGGGTGAGGGAGCACAGATGAGATCAAGGGAAAA